CTCAGCAAGAGAGAGTCTCATAAAGACAGCCCTGGGAAGCAAGGATAAAGGGACAAATCTAAGTGATAAATTGAAGTATGGAGAGGAGAAGGCTGCTGCATTCATACCTTAAGGCAATGTGTTGGAGCCTACTTGGGAATGTAGGCTTTTAATCTCTCACCATGCATTCTTGGAAGTTTTGGGTGTGTGGTTCCAAAGTTCCTTACCTCTGCTTATCCATCTCATGATACCATCTCATAATACCTCTGCACTCTCTCCTGTTTCTTCAGGAAAAGGAAGAAACTCTGGCTCTGATCAGTTTTATGTTATTCTTCTTTGCATCGTCTAGCAGCTGCTGGATTGATTTCTCATGGTCCCTTACAATTTTAAAGCAGTTTTTCTTTTCCTTTTCACTAATTGCAATCTTATCTTCTATATCTGACATTCCTTCCTCATATTGGCTCATTCTGCTGTGTAGACTTTCAATGCAGTTTTTAATCTCCTGGAAATCTGTTTGCTTCTGTTTTTTGGATTCCATTTGTTTCCTATGTTGGAATTCCATCATGTTCCTCAGCTCCTCTCTAGATTTATTAATCATGTCTTGCACTATGAGCACAATCTCTGCTGTCATCTGAGAAATTATTTCTTATTTCATTTTTCCACATCCTCTTTTATTGCCAGTTCAGGGAGTCCAGGTGGTTGAGTATCAGAGTGTTCCATCTCATATCCCTTTGGGGTTGATGTAGGTGGTCTGGAAGTCTGGTTTTGAGACTTGTTTACATGTCTTCTCATTTTGATGAGGGGCAGTGTGGGTGTGCTGTTGATGCACATGTGGCTCCCCTCCTCTGTGCTGGAAGCGGTGGAATGGTGGCCTAGAAGCTGCTTCATTTGTGCTGGGAGCAGTGGAACTGCCTATGTCATGATTTTGTTTAGCATTTTCATGTATTAGGAGTATAATTAATTTGGGGGATGTTTCTGGTCAGTCATTCATCTTATCTAGAATAACTTGTTTTACAAAAGGTAACTATCTTATTACTTTCTTGGTAACTATGTTGCTCATTGTAATTACAGAAGACTGTTTACAAACATACTACTTCACAAACTATTAGTTTTTTTTTATCACTGATACTATTGTGAAATGATTTTGTAAATAAATCATGAAACAAAATGAATAAATAATAGGTATTTTATAACATTTTATTTAATTCAGTTTAATAAATCTTATAAATTGTATTATTTAAGGCATCTTTTCTTTTCCCAGTGCTGGGGCCAAACCCAGGACCTTGAACACAGTAAGCAAGTGTGCTACAACTGAGCTACATCTCCATCTCTTCAAGTATCTTTATCAGAGTTTTAGACTACCTCATCACTCTAATTTGAGAATGTTCAATTCTTTCACCATAAATGTGTGTATATATATTTTTTTCTTTGTATATGTATAATAGCTGTCTTAATTTGCTCATTGCTGAGATAAAAATCCAATACCCAAAGTTGAAGGAGAAATGGTCTATTGTAGCACAGAATTTGGAGAAGTTTCGGTGTTTAGTTGGCTGGCTCAGTGGTAGGGTGGCATGGGAGAAGGTAGCAAAGTAGCAAAGTAGCAAGCAGCAAGTGACAAACAGCAACAACAGCAGGCTTCTTTCTGTCCCTCATATTCTATCCAGGCTACGTGCCTTTAGGGCAGATAACATTCACACACAGGGTGGGTCTTCCTATTATTCACACACAGAACTATGGCAAAAGAGTCAGAAGTCAGTGGACTTATTTAGTAATCACACACTCTAGATCCAGCCACCTCTGAAAAGCCCCACCAATGACCACATGAGGCTTTGAGGGGACACTGAGACACAAGCCATAACAATAGCTTTTATGTTATGTATTTTAGTGACATCATGTACCAAGTGTTGGCTATTGTTATATCTTCAATGTGGATTACTATGCATTAGTTTATTCTTATACCTACTACTTCTTGATTTGTTTTTTTTGTTTCAGTTTCACAGTTGGCTGCTTCCTTAAATTTTTTCAGTGTTTCTTGTTTAATAAATAAAGAATATTCAGCTACAAAATTTTTCTGAACTGGCCTTGCCCTTCTCCCATTACATTTTCATTGTGTTTAAAAGTCTGACATTTTAGAATTAAACTGACATTTTAGAATAAATCATTTACTATTTTCAATCATAAACACACATTATGGAGTGTCCTTATCCACCTTGTTCACCTATCTTCCTAATAGATCAGGTTATAATTTATATGTTCTTTGAACTGTAATAAAAGAATATGGTTTATCGACTTTCATGATTTTAATGTGGTTTCACTATACATCTCAGTATGTAGATAATTTATTAAAAGTTATCTAAATACTAAGACAAATATCTCACGGACCTTTGAAAAAATGAGTATTCTGCTAATTGGCTATAGAATTATCTGTAATCTTTTGAGTCAAACTTTTATGATTAATTACATCTTGCATATCTCACTTGAATCGACAATTTCTGAAAGAAAAATATTATAAACTATTTCTTTATGATTAAAGTCTATTAGTCCCTCTTTGATCAATTTCTTCATTGGAGAAAGAATTGTTTTAAACGTACTAATACTATACTATTTCTTTCCTCAGAGCCTTTACACAGGATATTCTTATTTTCTGAAATACTTCCACTTTTCTAATTCTCATTTCCATTCTTTGTACTTGGCATTTTTTCTTGTCTTCCTCCTTCTCATCCTATAGTTCTCTTCCTCCTTCTCTTCCTATATGAGGTGTGAAAAAAATTGTTGTGACAATTATTATTATTATTATTAATTATTATTTGGGGTAGAGAATGAAGATATATTTTTCCAGCTCTGGAACCCAGAAAGTTCAAGATCATCATTCTGGCATGGTCAGGTTCTGGTGAAAACATGCTTTTTCTAAAATTTAAAAAGTTTTAATTTTTTAGTACATGTTTGCAGTGCATAATGATTACATTCCTTGCGAGGAGTTGGTACACATACATAACATATGTTAACTCTTTTTACTTCTTCCCCTTCTCTTCCTCCCTAATCCCTCCACCTCTAAGTCTCCTTCTCTTTGGAAAAGATCTGTCTCCCTGTTTCCTATTATCTATCTTGGCCACTAATTCCCTTCAAGATATTCCCCTTCACTTATCCCATCATTCTTGCCTCGTTCTGAAACAGTTCTGGAAGTTTTTTTTATTAACGTCTTTATGAGTTGTGATATACAGTGAGTTTTGTTGCCAAGTGCCATCCAATGGAATAACAGGCTTATAAAAACATTATGGTGTGTCCTTATTCGCCTTGTTTACTAGATCTGGCACTGTGACTCTGGCTCTTTCTCAAAGTCAAAATAACCACGAATGTTCTGAATGGATTCAGATATCAAGGCAGCTGTGATAGTACAACTAGAGACACAAAAAGGACTTCCAGAACTGCTTCAGAAAGTGGCAAGAATGATGGGATAAATATGTTCAAAGCTAGAGAATATTTTGAAAAGGATTAATGCCAATGTGCCTTTTAGCTAAAAATTTTTATTCAAACATTTATTTTGATCACACTTTGTATAAATTCATGCAGAACTAAATGTGTTCCTTCTTGATGAAAACTAATTTTCAAACTAAAATTACCCCCTGCCCCAGTAACTATTGGCTTCAACTTTCTTTGAACATAGAGATTACTCTGTGTTTTTGGAGAGAAACATATATATATATTTATA